AAGATAAATTTGGCTTCTTTTTTTTTTTTTAGTGAATACAAAATACTAGTGAAATTATGCTGCAATAAGGTTCAACTGCATTTTGTATGAATATAACCATTAAAAAGTAGAATGAAGAAGGAAAAAAACAACATATGTTCACACCTACAGACCTCATCATCATCATCATCATCATCATCATCATCATGGTATAAAGAACCATCCTGCTTAAACTGGAAGTAAGTGCCATGGTTAAGAAATAAAATTGTTAAAAAGATCGTGCAAAAGAAAAGAATATTACACAAGGACAGATATAAAGAAACAAAATATTATTTAGTTCAGTGGCAGATACTAGAGACCACTGGACTCACTTAGCAACATCTAATTTTTGAAATCTAACGGTAATTAGTTAAAAACTTATTTAGCAGCTTACATTTATCGAAATGTAATGGTCAACAATTTTAAAATACACATTTATCAGTTTATAATTGTTCAAGTGTATTAATCATGGAGGCAAACTACTTCTTATCTTGTTGGTTACACCAGTTGGAGTAACGTGGAAGATAATTAACATATTCTAGGTTATAGTCTGAAGAGAATGGGGCAATGAGGGCTGGCGCAGGAATCTGGCTGATGCTGCTCAACACTCAAGAGGAAGTTGAAATGGATGTACAATCAGACTGTTACAGTTACCATCAGGGACTGAAACTGTGATTGCTGCTGAAGATGGAAGCGGAGTGCTTATGGGAATATCTCGAGTCTGTGATATTGATTCTTAATTCAACTTTCAATATACTTGGTTACAACATAAGACTAGTTCTCATCCTTGCTGACTCAGTTTCCTCACATGCTGTGTGAGTTAATTTTCACTTTTCTAAGGCTATTTTTGATGCTGGTGTTCTATCTTTGGGTGGTCTTCTTATAACCCTGAGCTCATTATATTTCTTCAACCAAGCTCTCGTAGTGGTACCAGGGCATTCTTGTCAAATGGTAGGACTATTCAATCTAAATAATAAGGACACAAACAATACATTGCACAATTTATTGCCTGGCATATTTTGCTGCTGTATCTCATCAGGAGCGTTGCTACAGAGTTACAACAACATAACAATGAAGCACAAAATGAATCCTTTACTTGATGAAATGCATAAACCTCATTGTCAAGCTGTGAAAATTGTGCAATGTATTGTTTGTGTCCACATTATTTAAATTTACAACGAAAAAACATTGTTTTGAACTATTCAATCTTTCTTTTATGAACTGAATGACTGTTTTCAGTTCTAGACTTTCTAATTTCTTAACTTTCTGAAAGAATGTCAGTTTTAATCATTAAGTCTGATATGCAATGTGTGTCTCATCTAGCATCTACATCTTTTCCTCACCCCTTAATTCGCTGGGATTTGTATGGTACCAGCTGACACTTTAACCCTTCACTCAGAATCACAAATGCATTAGATCATTCTTCTTTAAACCTCAAGTAAACTGGCATTGCAATCATGACCTTTGCCCTCTCTAGACATCTGGTGCTATGAAACTACACATGACTCATGCTGTCAAGTGACTAACAGAATAAAACACGACTCAACATGTATTATTAAAACTATGCTGCAAAACTCATGCACAAACAAGCATGTGCCATTTAAGTATACAGAAACTATTTTGAACCTCACATTCACAAGAACCTTTCTCCTCAAATATTTATTGAAGATTTAAAGTTTATTTAACTGTCCAATACGAGCAAACTAAAATGACCTTAGCTCCCAGGTCAATCCAGCCTAAAATGAGTACCAGGTACAGTGCTGGGAAGCAAAAGCGGCCGGCATTATGCTGACCACATTAGCCACCACGTCTATACAATATAGGTCTAACCCTTTACGCCCAATAAGCCTGAAAAAGTGTGGAAAAGGGTCCTTTACAAGCTGTCAGGAACTGGATTATCTGACATCACATGGATAAAAACAACTGCAAGAAACAGAAAATGGAGATGACCAAAAATCACACTAAGTAGACTGGCCTGATCAGTCTTCAAGAATAAGAAATCTAACAACAAAATGTTTACAATTACATGGATTATGGCCTGAATTCATGTGGAAATAGCTGCTGCTATGGAGTTAATGCACCAAGCTCAGAATCTTCTAATGTAGCATGAAAGCAAAAATTGAAGCAGTAACGAAGTTTCAAAGTGCAGTGAAGATGAGTCCACCTAATGGACACTGGAGGTGGGTAGACCTTATCCTTAGAATAGTCCTGACAGAATCTTCAACAAAAGAAAATTTTACCATGGCAAAATATTTATGTGTGGATACTGGCACTTACAAGGATATTCGCTGCTGTTTCAGATTTTATGAACTGAGCTGAGAACCACCTGTAAAGGCAAAGCTTGGATAATTTTAAAGTGCAACTAACAGACACGGAATTGAGTAGATAATCTCCTCAAAATAGTCATGACAAAATCTTTAATAGCAGAAAATATCACTATAACAAAATGTTTTTAGTTTGAGTGGGTTCTGACACACGTGTGCTACTGCTACAAGGTTAACGAAATGAGCTGAAAACTTCATGTGAAGTCAAACACTGGAGCACTAATGGACAAAGTGCAATGAAGATTAATGCAACTAATGGACACAGGAGCTAGATGGGTGGATCTTATTCTCAAAATAGCCCCGACAGAATCTTCAACAACAAAAACGGTTTACTACAACAAAAAGTGTATAGTATGTGTGGATTCTGGCAAAAACGTGGACACCCGCTGCTGTCAAAGACTATAAACATAGCTGAGAACTCTTGTGAAGGCAGACACTAATGAATATTTTCAAAGTGTGGTGAAGATGAATCCAACTAATGGACACTGCAAGCAAGGAGATAAACTTCAAAATAACCCTAACATCTTCATCAGAAAGTTCACTGACCAGAGTACATAAAGAAGACAAAAATAGGCCATCCAAGTGCATCAACTTCTAAAAGACCACACAGTTTGGAAAATACATTAAGCAAAAGTTAAGGGTCCTTTTCCACACCCATAGGCATATTGGGTGATGCTGGTAGACCTATATTTTACAGACCAGTTGGGTGATGAGGTCAACATCCCATCTGTACTTTTAGCACTTTACTCCCACTTCAGGCTGGGTCAGCTTTTCAAAAATTCATATGATTCACAAAACATTAATATTAGTGCCTTTCTTGGTCCCTTACGGTTGTTCAAAACAATATTTATCATTTTTTAACTCTTACCACACATAGCTGCTCATTCAGTGATCATTTGTTCCGATAAACCTAGATAATAGGGATTTTTTTTTTTTTACTTGACCTAGGCCCCATGGTTGGCCCAGTCTATTATGGGTACCAGGAAATTTTCTTAAAAGTAAAAGTGGCAGCCAGGATACCAACTACCCATCCACCAATTGCTGATTAAGTAAAGTGAAGTAAAGAGCAATCTTCCATACCTTCAGGCATATAGTTCTAGACCTATATTTTTACTGACCAATCGGCACTCAGCGTGTGATGTGGTCAACCTCACACTGGCCACTTTTACTTCCCAGGACTGGGCTGACCTGGAAGTCAAGGTCATTTTTGGAGAAAGAAAAGTCTGGCTCTGTATAGATTCTAACCCACAACCTCTGCATGCACAGGCAAGCATCTAACCACTACAATATAATGACACATAATGACAACAACCATTGCTGCAAATCAAGTAATGGATCGCACACTGTGCCTCCCCACAACGCTTAACAGCTGAAGTGGAAATTGATGATGATGACTTTAAAATTATTTATATATAAATATTTTGCAGGAAAGCCACTCCAACAATAACTAAAATACCCTAGACTTTTCTTGGCTTAGAAACAAATATGAAGAATTCAGTTCATAAATTGAAAATCAAATTATACTGAGAATTCTGAAAGCAAACTGAAAACAGATTTCCATAACCACAAAACTGTAAAAACAAGTCATGCAATGCCACAAATACTTTATTAGGTAACCTCTCAGTAAGGATAACAAGTTATATTATAGCACTTCCCATGTTGATTCTAGGATCCCATTTGGTGGGGGGAAAGGGGGGGGGAGACCCACTGCCCCCCCCCCCTTTTCCCCACAAGAAGGTCAAAAGGTCAACTAATAAACGGTGTTTCCTTCAAAATCAGAGTGCATGTGCCTGAAAGGTGAGGAACCAACAGTATGCTTACAAATATGCCAGATCTGTAAAAGACATGCAGGCATTCTCGAACAAGACTTAAGTCCAGAAGTGGATGAACAATCTGAAAATTCTGCTAGAGGTTACAGCCGGTGAATTTAAAGAAAAAGAAGAGGAGGAGAAGAAGGAGGAGGTTGAGAAGAAGAAGGTCTGCAAAAAAATGAACATAGCACCATGTGCCTTTTGCTCCAATGGCATGAAAAAAGTATTTCCTTTTTTTTTCAACTGAACAATTTCACACCCTACACACCCATTATTGAATTTATAGTCCAGACAATATCAACACTGACTAATGTTGATCTAATCTGTCAGTCTTAGCTAATGGAGGTTTTTTGTGTTTTTTTTTTTAAAGCATGCAGTGAAATATTCAACTTATTTTCATTGTTAAACTGTTTTTTTTTTTTGTATTCTTTTTTTTTAAATTAAGACTGCCATATTTGTCATTTCTATGGAATTTAGTGACTAAAAATTCTAGTGCCAAATATCACATTGTTAACATATTTATTCTTATCATATACAGACAATTTTGTGATAGACTATGTTTATTTTTATATGCTTAAAAAAATTATTGTTTCAAATACCACCAGCCTGGTAATGGCAGCAGTTTGCAGCAGTTAATGAGTTCGGCTTGTTAGCAACCAATAAATAGTATCTCCTTTAAACACATCAATTCACGCCAGATTATATTACATTGCATGCCAAACTGCATTACAAAATATTCATTAGGTGAGACACATTTCATTTAGCTTTTTAAGTTTATTATATGCATGCGGTTTCAAACAAATGAAATAAAATAAAATGGAGAGGTTGACAGATCTGAACATCTTACCTTAGCAAACAGAAGCGTGTATATGCTTGCTCGGCACGGGAAAACCATAACAGGGAATGTGATGACAATTGATAAAACGAAGCAGATTTTCATCAGATCGGTGAAAAATGTGTTGGGGAATACGCCTATAACATCTCCAGGGATGTCGTGTGTATAGAAAGCAATGTAGCCACAAAATCCAACCTGGAGAATTGAAACACATACAAAAATGTAAAACAATTTAAGGCAATACTGAACTATATAACTAAATGTTTTGAATTATTTTATATATATATATATATATATATATATATATATATATATATATATATATATATATATATATATATATATATATATATATATATATATATATATATATACATATATATATATACATATATATACATATATATATTTACACACACACAAACACCCTCCACCCCACCCAAGACCCACCCAATACCCACCCCCCACCCACCCCACCCCCACCCACCCCACACGCACGCACACACATGTGTGTGTGTATTTAAAATTCACTCCCAGTCTTAAATACGTACCAGGAATTGTCTTGGGAAGTAAAGGTGACCACATCACCCACCAAATGCTGACCGGTCTATAAAAATGAGTCTAGCATCATACGTCCAATGTGCCACTACAATGAAAAGGGTCTTTTGCTTTATATATATATATCTCAACCGCACAAGCGCGCGCCCATTGGGTGGCCAGTAGATTACTTTGTCGCTGGTCAGTTAGTTAGTTATTCCTCTTGTGCCAAAGATGGCGCATAGGGCAGAGGTCATAGCTTTCCACGTCCGTCGGTTCGTTGCCACTTGATGTAGGTCTTGAGTGCGACTGAAACCTATGGTTGAGCTCTCCCTTGTGATGGTTCTACGGAGAGTTTCTTTTGGTCTTCCCTGTTTTCTTTTACCCTCTGGTGACCATATGAAGGCTTGGTGGGGAAGTCTCTGTATGTCCATTCTGAGTACGTGACCGATGTAATTCCAGCGACGCATTCTAATAAAATCAGACACATATTTTTGTTTTGTTTCCTGTCTTATAGATGTATTGGACCTAAAGTCCGACCAGTGAACATTCAATAGCTTTCGGAGGCATCTATTCTCGAAAGCGACTAGTTTCTTATCGATTGATACTGATGATTTCCAACTCTCACAACCATAAGTTAGCACTGGGATCACACAGGAATTGAAGACCTTAAGTTTCGTGTCGCTGGTCAGTACAGTATTTGAATCTATCTCCTTTGATGGCATCAACACTGCAAGAGTTCCTTTTCAGGGCTACTTAGCGGCGAGCAATGCTAAGACATTTTATATGGTACACATAACCTAGTCGCAATTATAACCAAAAGCTCCCCCTTTGGGGATGCTGGTTAAATGTGGCAATTTTTTATTTTTTTTTATGGATGATGATGACGCAGACCTAGTCAGCTTCACAATAAAACACAATTACAAAGGATAAAATAAGCGTAGCAGCTATAAAGCCTTCATCAGTAACACTGACAATGATACAACTATACAAAATAATACGTATAACTTGAAATCTGCAAATGAAAACAAAAGGCTTGCTGTCATTTTTCTTTGTTTAATTATAAGCTTTTGTCATGGATAAATAATAGACAGGAAATGACCCAGAGATTAAGTGAGAACTTGAGAGGTCAGAGTCAGGGAAAGTAGCATGAAAAATATTACACGGAACTAAAGATAAAGAGCCTAAGTTAAACATAAGAGATCTGAGGGCTCTTATTTCATTGAAAAAGCAAAAAATATACTATGCTATAGAGGTCATGTGGTGCATCTGCATAAACATTTAAAAAGAACTAGACTTCACATTAAAAAAGCTAATGGAAAATACATGGCAAACATAACCTTCACTGTTGACAGAAACATAAACATCCTGAAACTCACCATCAAATATGCTACAGCACACAAGTTAACAGCACTGTTCACAACCTTTGACATGGCTTTTAAAGAAGGTTCTGGCAGAGCATCATAAAGAAGAAACAACTGCCTGAAAATAAATGTCAAAAAATATTAATGCTGATATTAAAAAGTGTTAATGAATAATACAATAAGCCATACTAGCGAGATGTAGTTCTAAGAGATGCAGTGTGCTTTTTGAAAACATTGATCAATGATAACCAGATGCTTTTTGAAAACATTGATCAATGATTGATAACCAGATGCTTTTTGAAAAACATTTATCAATGATTGATAACCAGATGCTTTTTGAAAACATTTATCAATGATTGATAACCAGATGCTTTTTGAAAACTTTGATCAATGGTTGATAAACCAGATGCTTTTTGAAAACACTGATCAATGATTGATAACCAGATGCTTTTTGAAAACATTTATAAATGAAAACCAGATGCTTTTTGAAGACATTGATAAATGATAAACAGAAAAAATGCTAAGCGAAGTCAATACCAACAAGATGGTCTTCTTCTCCTATTGCCCTTTAACTCCTATTGCAGTGATTATTGAGGACTATTATCACAGCACCCGGACAGATCCACAGGTGCTCTGATCTCCTCCTCAATAGCAAAACGACTGATCATACCCGTTCTGTGCCGATTAACCAGATGCCTTGAGCCCTTGGTGAAATTTTCAGATCTGGCTACTCCAGGTTGCCTCTCCATTTCTACCAGCCTGCTTGTTGTCGTGATCTTCTCTGCAATATATCATGGCATTTATGACATCATTCCTGTCTAGAGGCCGGGCCAGTCATGGTAACTGCCTTGTCTGCTACATAATCTGCACACTCACTGCCTTGAACACCCTCATGCTCGGCACAAAGATAAAGATTAAATGAGTTATTTGTGATGCATTTAACGAAAGAATCTATTCATGTTTGATGCAGCCATACTGAAGTAGAAGACTTCAGTCTCTGGACCAACTTATGTCAAGAAATAATTTTCTTTGCCACTAAGTGCAACTTACCCTTCTTCTGCCTCATCTTTTCATTTAATTTTCTAATTGTCTTTTCCAAAAATGTTTAGTCCACTTTTACTTCTCCGACTCTGGGTTTCAGTACAAGAACATTCGAGATATATTATTGTCAGGTTTAATTTTTTAAATGTAGCACCTTCCTAGAAATCATCTCCATTTGAGGTATCCAGAAATAGAATAGCAGACAGATTGCTAAAACAAAAATGAGTACAATGGCACCAAATAGAACCTTCCAAGAAAAGAAGACCCTCAAGTATATTAAGATACGGAATCAACAATGTGGCAGCTAAAACAGGCCTGCGTAAAAACAGGACAAGGCTAAAAAATAATTTGTATGGCTAGAAAAGGGTGCTGTCAAGAATGAACACCTCTGGGCAGGAAAAACAGATAGCTAAGCATATTCTGCAAAGCTAACATATTTTTGTCAACTATAGATCAATGACTGGACTAAAGACACAAACTTTCACAACAGCAAAATACAATATGAAATCATGAATTACTTTGCAGTCACTGCTAGAACAACAGCGAATGAAAAACAAGAAGGAGATGACAAAAAAAAACACATGTTTTAGAACTAGGGTCTAATTTACAAATTCTGTTGCATGGAGGGGGAATATCAGAACAGGGACGGTAAAGAAGAAAATGCAATAGGTTGAGAGGAGTATCTGAGAAGAGGTGTCTCAAATACATGTCTTGAAATGCCATGATCTGATTGTGAAAGACTTCTCTTAAAATAAGCCAGTCTCGCTAGTCCCCTCACCATCTCCAATGGGCTGTGATTCTCATGCCTCACTACAGCACGATATAATACTACCATCTAGAAAGGTGGAAAGGTGCCCTAAGATAACATTACATAACCCTTGACCTATTAGGGTTGTGGAGGTGTATTGATGGAAGCACTAGAACATAAAACACACTATTTTTCTCTGTCTTCTGCTTGATGAATAAGTGTTTGATAAATTAGTCCTGTCCATTTCTTCCCAATGTTCCTGAAGTAGACAGTCTTGCAATCGAATCATGTCTCACCACGTGCCCAAACCAAGCTAGCTTGCGACGTTTCACCACTGCGGAGAGAGGCTCCTGATGTCCCCTAAATTTGTATATTTTGTCTCTGACATATTTATTAGTTTTGTGTTCTGAATAAATAATTTGTAAACTGCGTCTGTAGCATTTACATTCAAAAGCCTGAATCCTCCTTCCTTTCCATTTCCACAGTGAGAGGTGCCAATCAGTCTGTGTATTAAAAAAAAACACAGATGAGCCAAACCTGGACGTCAGTCCAACAAGACATATCTCAGATTCCATTTTCAGCCTCATAAGAAGGTGCAATCATGGCAGCCTTTAAAAGCCTCATCAAGTACTATCTGGTGTACCCTGTTGCACTAAGTGGGTAGAACTGTGATACAGGTGTACAATATACAAGAATACAATCACAAGTTTGTTTTTACAATTAAAAGGCTCTGATGTTTTACTTACGTTTGGCACCCAAAAGAGAAGGACAAAATAGGTAGGCACTGGAAAAAACCTTCTGGCCTCCAGAAGTATACTTTCTCATACCAGTCAGCCTGCCACAAATTTGGCACTGCTAAACAAAAAACCTGGAAAGATGTCATTTGCAACAGATTAAATAAGAATTACATAACCGGTTAGGTTACATATGGCAAGACCAGACCTTCTGCCTTTATTCAGAAATGAAAAAAAAGAGAGAATGTATTTTTTAACACTATTCTGAGTAACCACTGGGTGGTGGAAAGGGGAGGGGGAGACAGACTTGTGGCTCCTTAACAAGCATGTTAGAAAAGGTGACTAATTAGGGTTTGATGAAATCTGATGAGTTAAACCTAGCTGTAAACCACAACACATCTGTTTCTTTTGAGGGTGAATGCAGAAGAAGAGAAGTACTATTCAAAGGCAAGATAATAAATAAATAATATTACCCCCAAAAATCATAATTTAACATGAGTCAATGTATCAAAATGAGCCGCCATTGTATAGTGACTGACAACTGCTTATAAAATAGTGAGTCTGCCAGATATAAATATCAAAGAAAACTGGCGCATAAACTACATCATGTCTGCTGCAAAGTTGAAAATTTGTGCATCCCATTTTGCTTTGTTCTTATCTCCTGACCTGTCTGACTTTTCTATTTGTTCTTCTTCTTCTATTCATTCGTTCGTGCCTGTTTGCAACAAAGCTGCTATATTTGCGCCTTTCATCAAGCATTGTTGAGCGGGTCAACTTCCCGGATGTTTCTGTTTAAGGTCAATAGTAGTACAATCACACTAACCCCTTGTCAAAAATGTTGCATTATGAAAATCGATGTCACTGCACATTGGGCATTCCCCTGCGTGCTCAGTCCTCCGATGCAGCAACTACTCCAAGGTACCTCTATTGACATTGTTGTCATAAATGTCATTTATGAGCTCTAATTAAGCGTTAATTATTATTACATGTTAACTGGCATGTTCCGGTGCTTGGTGATGTGATAACAAACTGTGAAATGACAAAATACTAATAAAAGTAGCAACATACTTAAAATATTTTTAAAAAAATGACACACAGAGGTGGTTATACTGACATATGTCTGCTTACGATGGCAAGCAATAGCAAATGATAAGTAACTACAATTTTAAAACTTAAGATATTGTTTGTTTTTGAAGCCACTTGAAGATGGTGACTTTTAACTCTTTCAAATCTTGATGCCTCAATGTTTACATTACCTGAGCCCTGACAATGGTTTGTATCAACGCCAGAGTTGACTAAAATCTGGGATCTCAACCCACCCACAGCTAGATTACATGTAACTCCACTAACAATTAGGTACCCCAATATACGACATCACACAGGTGAAAGGGCTTTCTAGGATTAATAGTTGTTCTGTTCTCATCCAAGAGATGTTACCCTGACAGAATGCACGCACCTTCCTCTTTTTCTTCAGCATTCCAAGCCCTAGAGGTTCAGTGCTGCAGATATCACCCGCCTCCATTCATCTCTCTGGTTAGCCTTCTCTTTCTAGTTGGTGATACTTAGGGTTTAGGTCTGCCTGGATATTATCTCTCCAGCATCTTCTTGGTCTGCCTAGTGGTCTATGACCATTCAGCTCCCTTGACAGTTTTTACCTCTCTGTCATCTGAATACACTCATGGAGGTGGCAAATTCAAGACATTAAATAAACCAGAGATCTCAATTTCAATAAGATTTTTTTTTTTATTTTGAAAAAAAGAGAGAGAGAGAGAGAGAGAGAGAGAGAGAGAGAGAGAGAGAGAGAGAGAGAGAGAGAGAGAGAGAGAGAGAGAGAGAGAGAGAGTGTGTTCCATGGCATGGCAAATACAACATTTGCGAAGTAAGGTATTAGTCCATCACATTTTCCAGGTCATGACATATGAGTCGTGGTGGCCTGGTCCTTTCCTCATTTCCTCTCCTTCTAAAATCCAAAACAATTCTAGGTCTGTCAGAAACATCTTTATGAAGCCAGGTGGACTCCAGAGCCATGTGGGTGGATACAAATTTGCCACTTTCTTGGAATTCAACCTGGACCACTGTCCTGACAGGCAAGCACACTAACCATTTTATGCACCCCACCTAAAGCTGCCATTATTTGCCATGTTTGTAGTGTGTAGGCAGGGAAATCCTTGAGCCTAAGGATTTGGGGCCACACAGCTAGTGCTGTAGCCAGGGACTGTGCAGGTCAGAATTGTATATTTGCCCCAACCGAAAAAATGTCCCCAAAACTTTACTGAGGATTTGAAACTAGGTCTTAAGCAGGAGAACCCTGCATTCTTTACTCAGAAGAAATAAAAACATCACTTACATATACAACAAAGGTGGAATAAAAGGCAACACACACAGCACTGACTCTGCTAACAGACCGGATATCTCTGATGAGGGCCATGGGCAACCCTACACTCATGCACAGCAGAATGATCAGGAACATGCGCAGCCCTGAGCTGTTCTAGAAAAAGAAAAGAAACAAACAAACAGGTACATTAAAAGTACATTTTCCCTATATAGGCCCCTGTGCCCTATTTGCAGGGAAAGTGGGTACATGGGGGGAGGGGGGAGACAGGCCCACTACCTCAAAATGAGCATGTCATAAAGGCTGACTAATAAGAGGTTTGTTAGTGTTCTGAGATATGAATGTGAAATTCAATCTGACCCCCCCCCCCCCCTCCCAAAAAAAAACATGGACCGCCTTTATAAAGGATGGAAATCATTTGAAAGAAATAAACAAATTAAAATTTGATGGAGAAAAGTATGAATGAAAATTAGCAGAAGCACCAAAAAAATTGAATTCTCCAATCAGCTTCCCAGTTTGGTACTGTGGGGAAAAAAAGCTAATTTTAGAAATTAATAAAATAGTTGAGAGGGAACTAGTCTCCATGGTGAGAAGCAGGAATCAAATAAGATCTTTTGGGGAACAGAAGTAACCGGGCATGAATTCTAGTTGGGAAGTGCAGAGCAAGTGAACTCACCTGTATTGCCAACATAGAAGCGTGCTGTAGGTAAGAGAAACTTAGATATATATATAAATGATTGTTAATATAGTAACGCAGAGATGCGAAACCAGAAAGTGGTGGGTGAGAAAGAAATTCTTAGTAGTCAGAACCATGGTGGTTTGAGAGTTGCTTGGAGAGGTGCTTGACAACCCGGACATCTGCAAAGTGTAGACAGGTTGTCACAGAGAAAGATATATATATATTAATGAACAGATTACTGTGCTGGAATAAAATGACCTGGATCACACAGTATTCATAAATAAATTATTGTGAACTCTTGATACTTTTTACCTACTGTGTAATATTATTGCAATGTTTATTCATGTAGCTGTTGATCAAAGGATCAAAATGCATTTTTATTTTTATGACAGAATTTTAAAGACAAATGCTTTGTCTATTAACTCTTAACTGAGCTGTGCTGCGGCTGTTCACTACATGTCTGATGCTCATGTTCTCAATGAATTTGTATACATGATGTTAGGGAATAGTCCTTGAACTTATGCTTCAGACATGTCTTGACTTCATCCATCTGGGTAGGGCATAAGTAAACACATCTTGATACTGTAGGAGAAACCATGTTGGTTGTAAAAACGCCCACATCTAACTCTGAATTCATAGGGAAGGGAGTGATTCTTGTGCTCTTTTTTAGAGCGCTGCCAAAAGTCTTTATTATCCTTATCTTTCTGATGAAGGCCATAAGCATATGTGAGGATGGCCTCCGAATGATGGCCTGAGAGAAATATCTGTTTTACAGACATAAGTACTAGCTGATATATCAGCAATATATATATATATATTATATTAGTACTGTATGTAAGATGTTGAACTGCACAATTTAATAGGATGGTTTGCTTGGATTCAGGGAGAACTCTTTTAGAGTGCCTCATGATGGATAATTAACCTCTTTCATTGTGCTGATACTCTATACTCCTTAAGGTATAAAATAACAGATGTGTGTGTGCGTGCATGTTTTTTTTTTCTTAAGGTGAGATGATTGATTTCATTGTATAGGATTTTATTCATTAGGATATTGTCTTTCTCTGGTTGCCAGAAAAATCATCATACAGAACTCTGTAGCTCCGGTGACAAAGATGGTATCTCTGAAGTAACTGCATCTGAAAAAATGGAGGACAAAGTCCCAAACCAAACATGTGTGTTCCTGCATGCAAGGTAAACATACATTTTACCGAGTAGATATCACGTCTGCATTAAACAGTGTGTTTATATGTATGTCCAGGCCGAATCTGGCCCACAGAGGCCTAGCAAGTTGTCCACAGATCACTGCCAAATGTACTGTATTAATGATCACTGTTTGTTGGGGCTGAGATATCTAGCCCATGACGATCATTAATTTCAACATTCTGACTCCTGAGTTAACTTATTTAGCTAAATAGACATTGTATAGGCAATTGCTGGTCATCATGAAGGTTTAAGGTTCAAATCTGCATCAAGGCAGATTTTTTTTTAAACTGATCTTGACTCCCAGACTGATCCAGTTTAAAATGAATACCAGGTAATGTCCTGGGAAGTAAAAGTGGCTAGAATGATCTTGAGCAAATCAGTTATCAACTGCTGACTGGTCTATAAAAATACAGATCTAGCACTATATGCCAAAGGTGTGAAAACAGACCTTGACTTTTTTTTTCATACATCCATATGAACAAACATGTGTGAGCACACACTTATACCGAATCACACTTGCACATGTGCAGAACTTGCATGCCTCTATACAATCATACAAACCTCTATTCCAACAAACTTTGTCACAATGGATGGACCCAAGTCTCCAATAACAACAATCTGAGCAATGAGAGTGCCCAACTGGAAGCCAATCATTCTGGAAAAAATGTAATTAGCAACGGTTAAATGAGTAAAAAGAATTCTAGTCAATTAAGAGGAGAAGAAAAGATTCTGGCATGAATCAGGAAAACATGAGAACAATATAACTAGAATGTCTTTACAATGGAATCCACAATTGTCAAAGAAATAAAGGTATACACAAAACACAGAAAGGAGGTAGAGAGCGAAGTTAAGAAGATTGTGAGGACAATGAGCGAGCTGCATGTAACAGCTAACGGCAGGATGACATGACGGAAGTTAGTTAAGGGCCCATGCTGCATCCGGGGAAGAAAGGGCAGAAGAAGAAGAAAAATCGTCAACAAAAAAATAAGCAAAAATTAAATCAATTAGTAATCATCATGTGGCCAGTCTGATAAAAACAAATAATGTTCGATGATTTAAGTATAAATTAAAAAGAATTAGTGTACCATGGCAAAAAAATTGTGACGTAAGTGAATTCATATCCTAAACATATTACATCTTCCATCAGTCAATCAGCAGGTCCTCTATATAACTTCACTATCTTCATGGCACAATTTTACAGAAAGTCACTCTCTTCATGGCACACCTTTACAGTATGTCACTTTCTTTATGGCACACCTTTATAGAACTTCACTGTCTTCATGGCACACCTTTAGAGAACCTCAGTCTCTTCATGGCACGCCTTTACAGAACGTCACTTTCTTCATGGCACACCTTTACAGAATGTCACTCTCTTCATGGCATGCCTTTACAGAACATCACTCTCTTCATGGCACACCTTTACAGAATGTCACTCTCTTCATGGCACGCCTTTACAGAACGTCACTATCTTCATGGCACACCTTTACAGAATGTCACTCTCTTCATGGCACACCTTTACAGAACGTCACTCTCTTCATGGCACACCTTTATAGAACCTCACTCTCTTCATGGCACACCTTTACAGAATGTCACTCTCTTCATGGCACGCCTTTACAGAACGTCACTATCTTCATGGCACGCCTTTACAGAACGTCACTTTCTTCATGGCACACCTTTATAGAACCTCACTCTCTTCATGGCACACCTTTACAGAACGTCACTATCTTCATGGCACACCTTTACAGAACGTCACTATCTTCATGGCACACCTTTAAAGAACCTCACTTTCTTCATGGCACACCTTTACAGAACCTCACTCTCTTCATGGCAAACCTTTATAGAACCTCACTCTCTTCATGGCACACCTTTATAGAACCTCACTCTCTTCATGGCACACCTTTACAGAATGTCACTATCTTCATGGCACACCTTTACAGAACATCACTCTCTTCATGGCACACCTTTACAGAATGTCACTATCTTCATGGCACACCTTTACAGAATGTCACTATCTTCATGGCACACCTTTATAGAACCTCACTTTCTTCATGGCACACCTTTATAGAGCCTCACTCTCTTCATGGCACACCTTTATAGAACCTCACTCTCTTCATGGCACACCTTTACAGAATGTCACTTTCTTTATGGCACACCTTTATAGAAACTCACTCTCTTCATGGCACACCTTTACAGAATGTCACTTTCTTCATGGCACACCTTTACAGAATGTCACTATCTTCATGGCACACCTTTATAGAACCTCACTCTCTTCATGGCACGCCTTTACAGAATGTCACTCCTTTCATGGCATGCCTTTACAAAACGTCACTATCTTCATGGCACGCCTTTACAGAACATCACTCTCTTCATGGCACACCTTTACAGAATGTCACTATCTTCATGGCATGCTTTTACAGAATGTCACTCTCTTCATGGCACGCCTTTACAGAACATCACTATCTTCATGGCACACCTTTACAAAACGTCACTATCTTCATGGTATGCTTTTACAGAACATCACTCTCTTCATGGCACACCTTTACAAAACGTCACTATCTTCATGGCATGCTTTTACAGAACATCACTCTCTTCATGGCACGCCTTTACAAAACGTCTCTATCTTCATGGCATGCTTTTACAGAATGTCACTATCTTCATGGCACACCTTTACAGAAGGTCACTCTCTTCATGGCACGCCTTTACAAAACGTCACTCCTTTCATGGCATGCCTTTACAGAAGGTCACTCTCTTGATGGCACACTTTTACAAAACGTCACTATCTTCATGGCATGCTTTTACAGAACGTCACTATCTTCATGGCACGCCTTTACAGGAGGTCACTCTCTTCATGGCACACCTTTACAAAAGGTCACTATCTTCATGGCATGCTTTTACAGAACATCACTCTCTTCATGGCACGCCTTTACAAAACGTCACTCCTTTCATGGCATGCCTTTACAGAAGGTCACTCTCTTCATGGCACACTTTTACAAAACGTCACTATCTTCATGGCACACCTTTACAGAATGTCACTATCTTCATGGCATGCTTTTACAGAATGTCACTATCTTCATGGCATGCTTTTACAGAATGTCACTATCTTCATGGCATGCTTTTACAGAACGTCACTCTCTTCATGGCATTCCTTTACAGAACGTCACTATCTTCATGGCACACCTTTACAGAATGTCACTCTCTTCATGGCAGACCCAAAAGTCTTTTTTTCTCTAGCAAGTTCTCCAGCTCTATTTGTTTTCATAGCCAATGCCTGTACAGTATCTTGTACCCACCTTAATAGAGGTCAGCCTCTGTCTCATTTAAAAGATACATTTATAAAATTCATAAAAAATTTTTCACAGCTAGACTAGGGCTATTCAACTAGGTTTACTAGGGGGCCAAAATATTTAAAACGGGGATCGTCATGGGCCAGAGACTCAAACCTAGCAAAGGGAGATAATTAAGATAGTACACCTGGCAAGGATCTGTGGGCCACTTGCCAGGCCTCTGTGAGCCAAATCTGGGTCGCGGGCAAGCCAACAGCTAAATAAACCTGCCTAGAGGGTAAAGGTACAGTACAGTATTTTAAAAAATATTTTTGGTTTATGACTGAGTAAAGGATCACATTCATTACACATAAATATCTCTATCAGTGTTTCAGTCTCCTCCACAGATAACACACACAAAAGAATCAATAAAACAAACAAAGAACTGCTTTGATTCCCTGCCCATGTGATTTTGTTGACAAAGCGATAGGTAGCAAAGTCATTTCATAACAAGATTATCAAGATATCATAATGACATCACAACTTTAAACAATGTGATTTTGTTCATTCTAATTCAATATTTGTTCTAAATATAATCACATTACCCACTTCTACATACTATGCAGTTGCATAGTGGCTACTGCTCAAAGACTTCATGTCATCAAAAACCCATAACTGTACACGGTACAAAGTTCACAGCACTGAGGAGAATATTAAACATGTGTGTACGTGGATGACACATGCTTTATATATTAATTTTATGAGTAACTTTTCTCATTTTAAAATTTAGCCAGGACAGCAAGCTATTTGACCTAATATTTTTCATTTCCAACGACTGAGAGATTTTGAAAGTGTGCAGTGTGCAGACTGAACAGGGAGCCTTCAAGTTGGCTGATCTGTTTAGAGAATACTAGATATCAATCCACAATTCTTGAATCATGGAGCATAACACCTTTTCATATTTTATGCAAATGCTTGCCAGAAACAAACTGAAGATAAATTCACCCAATCTTGGATAAACAAAATCACCCAATCTCAGAAACAAACTCACCCAATCTTTTAAGATGAGCAAAATCACCTAATCTCTGAAACAAACTCACCCAATTTCTGAGATAAACTTTCCAGGAGCACCATGAGTATAGTATGCTAATGGAAAGAAATAAAGATAAAATAAAGATACATAAGTGGTAATAACAACAAATTAACATACAACTATTATATAGTGTTGCCAACAAAACTGACTTTAGTTGAGCAGCCTTTTTTTTTATACCTGATAATAAATACGCTAGACTCCACTTCTGCATCCGGGTGCCCTATTTTTAGGGAAAAAGAACAGACCCACTGCCTCCTGACAAGTCAGTCAGTCAGTCAGTCAGTCAGTCAGTCAGTCAGTCAGTCAGTCAGTCAGTCAGTCAGTCAGTCAGTCAGTCAGTCAGTCAGTCAGTCAGTCAGTCAGTCAGTCAGTCAGTCAGTCAGTCAGTCAGTCAGTCAGTCAGTCAGTAGCATGGCCTTTGCAAAACCTAGCTCCCATAACAACCCCCCGGAAAACTCAATCACATGCAAGATGTCCCATGTCCAATACACCCATCTGGAGATCATCCACCACATCCTGCACCCATCTTTTCTTTGCCTTCCTCTTTGTCTCTTCCCAGGCACATACCATTATTGCTCTCTCTTAACTTTCGTGATGTTTCAAGTGACCAAAATTTTTCACTTTTCTGTGTTTTATCATCTTTAACAGCCAAACTTCTTTAATATTCAGTTCGTGAAGTATAGTGAGTGCATATGTATTTTTCTTTACTCATGATATTCTTAGAACCCATCTATAACAAGTGCGTAACATTAATATAGTGTAGAAATAATAGTGATAATGACACACATACTTTTCAAGTGTAATAAGAAATATCAGAGGTTTCAGGTGTTATTTTATAATTTAATATATGAATACAATTGATTTTGCTTACAACAGTTTACTTCAGATTCATTAGGCTCAGACATATGTAACATGAAAAAATGAGGCAGATAAAAGACAGTCAAAAACTGTTTATACAAAACCAAAACAAAAAACAGGAGTTGAATGGGAACAGACTATGAAGCAGATAAAGAAGACAGCCGAGAGAAGGGTGCCAGAATTGATTCTATTCACAATGTCGAATGAAATGAATGCAAGAATAAACGGTAAGCCTATGATGAAATTGTCACTGCTTTTAAGACGAGGTTGCTTTCTGAAAATTCTGAAAAATATGAATCTCACATGATTGTCGAAATCAACACAAAGCAGTCCACTAGAAACCTGGTTGCAGCTGGTTTTGAGACACACTAAGTCAGAATTGTGAAACTGTTCCACAATACCTAAGCTACAGATGCAGACTTTTTCCATGTGTAGTGATTTGTAAATACGATAAATGCAAAAACATAATACATTAATATAAGTTACACAGGCAGTAGTGTATTCATTACAGACAACAAGAAATGGATCTGAGTGTGACAATTGTGAACACTGAAAAACTAGATTGTGAAAATACGATAAATGCAAAAGCACAATACATTAATATAAGTTACACAGACAGCAGTATATTCATTACAAACAGGAAATGGATCTGAGTGTGACAACTGTGTACATTGGAAAACTAAGGTCAGAATTGCATTGTAAGAAAATTTATAAATAATTGTCCTCTTCAGAAAGAAAGATATGACACTATGTTACATCTGAGTAAAAGGGATCCTTCTTAAACAAGTGAACCAATATAGATATCTTGGAACAGTCACAGCCTCTGATGCAAGATGCTCTGAGAGATTAGAACAAGAAGTGGCATGACAGAAGTTGCCTTCTGTAAGATGCAAAACATACTCACTAATAAAAAGCAGTTAGAAAGGAAAGAATGTTAAAGTACTATCTGCTGTTGAATGTTGAATTAAGAATCAACATCACATTACTTGGGACACTCCCATAAGCACCCTATCCCCATCTTCAGCAGCAAGCGAAATGTTCCAATTCCAATGGTACTATCTACATTATGCAAGTGAAACATGAAAAACAAACACACAAACTGAGAAATATCTAATAGCAATAAGAACATAGGGAAAAAAAGCAGTTCTATACCATCTTCTGGTATATTGAAGCATAACAAGTTAGAGGTGGTCAAGGCCCTTTAGGAGTGAGTGAGCCCTGCAGCAGGTAGGGACCAGAGGATCTGGTCAACACTCATAGGAAAGGCAAGATGTACAAACCATCAGACTGCATCTTCCATTGGAATTTAAAGTGTGCATTGGCTGCTTAAGATGATAATGAAGCACTTATAAAAATGTGCTGAGAAGTGTGCCTAGCTAGTGGCATGTGATGAAGTTTCTTGGCCAGCTCGAGAAGGGTGCCTACCTTGTGGCATGTGATGAAGTTTCCTGGCCAGCTTGTGAAGCGTGCCTAGCTAGTGGCATGTGATGAAGTTTCCTGGCCAGCTCGAGAAGCATGCCTATCTAGTGGCATGTGATGAAGTTTCCTGGCCAGCTCGAGAAGGGTGCCTACCTTGTGGCATGTGATGAAGTTTCCTGGCCAGCTCAAGAAGCATGCCTAGCTAGTGGCATGTGATGAAGTTTCCTGGCCAGCTCGAGAAGGGTGCCTACCTTGTGGCATGTGATGAAGTTTCCTGGCCAGCTCAAGAAGCATGCTAGCTAGTGGCATGTGATGAAGTTTCCTGGCCAGCTCAAGAAGCATGCCTAGCTAGTGGCATGTGATGAAGTTTCCTGGCCAGCTCGAGAAGCGTGCCTACCTTTGTGGCATGTGATGAAGTTTCCTGGCCAGCTCAAGAAGCATGCTAGCTAGTGGCATGTGATTAAGTTTCCTGGCCAGCTCAAGAAGCATGCCTAGCTAGTGGCATGTGATGAAGTTTCCTGGCCAGCTCGAGAAGGGTGCCTACCTTGTGGCATGTGATGAAGTTTCCTGGCCAGCTCAAGAAGCATGCTAGCTAGTGGCATGTGATGAAGTTTCCTGGCCAGCTCGAGAAGTGTGCCTAGCTAGTGGCATGTGATGAAGTTTCCTGGCCAGCTCGAGAAGGGTGCCTACCTTGTGGCATGTGATGAAGTTTCCTGGCCAGCTCAAGAAGCATGCTAGCTAGTGGCATGTGATGAAGTTTCCTGGCCAGCTCAAGAAGCATGCCTAGCTAGTGGCATGTGATGAAGTTTCCTGGCCAGCTCGAGAAGGGTGCCTACCTTGTGGCATGTGATGAAGTTTCCTGGCCAGCTCAAGAAGCATGCTAGCTAGTGGCATGTGATGAAGTTTCCTGGCCAGCTCAAGAAGCATGCCTAGCTAGTGGCATGTGATGAAGTTTCCTGGCCAGCTCGAGAAGGGTGCCTACCTTGTGGCATGTGATGAAGTTTCCTGGCCAGCTCAAGAAGCATGCTAGCTAGTGGCATGTGATGAAGTTTTTCCTGGCCAGCTCAAGAAGCATGCCTAGCTAGTGGCATGTGATGAAGTTTCCTGGCCAGCTCGAGAAGGGGTGCCTACCTTGTGGCATGTGATGAAGTTTCCTGGCCAGCTCCAGAAGCATGTCTAGCTAGTGGCATGTGATGAAGTTTCCTGGCCAGCTCGAGAAGCATGCCTAGCTAGTGGCATGTGATGAAGTTTCCTGGCCAGCTCGAGAAGCGTGCCTACCTTGTGGCATGTGATGAAGTTTCCTGGCCAGCTCGAGAAGCATGCCTAGCTAGTGGCATGTGATGAAGTTTCCTGGCCAGCTCGAGAAGGGTGCCTACCTTGTGGCATGTGATGAAGTTTCCTGGCCAGCTCAAGAAGCATGCTAGCTAGTGGCATGTGATGAAGTTTCCTGGCCAGCTCAAGAAGCATGCCTAGCTAGTGGCATGTGATGAAGTTTCCTGGCCAGCTCGAGAAGGGTGCCTACCTTGTGGCATGTGATGAAGTTTCCTGGCCAGCTCGAGAAGCATGCCTAGCTTTTGGCATGTGATGAAGTTTCCTGGCCAGCTTGAGAAGCTGATAGAGAAATCCTGTGATAAATGCTTTTTTCTCATACCCTCTTCGTGTAAAAATTACATTCAATAAATAAAGTATAAGTATTTTTAAAAAAATATATCTACTTTTTAATCACCTTGTATAACACCTTCCCCTGCAGGTGAGGGATCCATTATGCTACCAATGTGCACATACTTTTTTAATGTTTTAAAAAAAAAAAAAATTTTGTGTGGACTCACCTAAGAATTCATAAGACCTCCGCCGGCAGGTGATACCGGCCTTCATTAAAAGTGTACATGATATCAGAGTGAGCCAAGTACACAAAACCAAAACCACTATGGAAAGTATTATGCCACACTGAAAAAGATATATATTTTTTTAACAATAATCATTTCGATGCAATATTTACGTAAGTAAAGTAAAAGACCCTTTTTAATGGGCACTGGATGCAAGACATAATTTTTATTGATCAATCAGAATTAATTCAGAGAGGGATGTGGTCAAAAGTCCACTGGCTACTTTTTACTTCCTATGTGGTTTCCTAGTAGCCACTTTGAGGTGAGGTAACCTGATCACTTATTTAAATACAAACTGACATTAATGCCAACTTAAACCCAAGACCATTAGGCCAGCATGTAAGCATCTAGCCAATGTGCCAACCTATATCCCCAGTGTTTCTGAGAATGATTTTTTTTTTTAACACACTGCCATATAATGTGTCAAATGTAGAATCATCCATGCTGCTCGCTATTCTATGCTAAATAAGGTAGCTCTCATTCTTCCTCCTTTGTGTTCTATCTGAAGATATAATTCCACTGTGCCCGATTACAACACTGCTGTGATATTTATGAGTTTTGGCCAACATATCTGACTTCTGCAGGCATTTGTTGCCTGGGTAGGCCATCCTGGTTAGTTTTGTGGGACACTGCGGTCTCACTGTCATGTAGTCATCTTTGTTTCCTAGATGGTCCCCTGCATCAGGCAGGTCTAGTTTCCATAAATGAAGAGCCAATGCATGGTGCTCATATACTGGGCTCACCTAAAAGAACCGTCATGTCCTGCTCATGACTGTTTAACCTCACTTCTGTATATTGAGCATCTTATTCATCATGGGCTATGCCTTTAGAAACCAGCAGTAGGCATCCTGCAGACCTGGGACTTCAAGTACCTAAACAAAATGACTACTTTCCTTTTCATATACGTTAGACTTTTATTGCAGTGGATTTCCGTGTCCACTAAAGTTTCACACGACAATATGGTAGTTCCATAGTAGACACTGTCTTTGAGAGGTGAAGCATTAGGCTCTTACATATTCTAGGTCACAACATACGTCATGGGATAACCAGTTCCCTTTTTCCCTCCCTATCTTTCCAAAACGTATCCCATAACATTATACAAATTGCCAGGTACCCGATTCTTATAGGGCTGGTTGGATCCAGTGACATAGCAAGATCAGGTAGCAGCTGGCATGGACAATTTTCTGCCCCCCCCCCCCCCCCCCCATATATTCTTTTTATTTTGAAAACATATTTTTGCCATCTTCATCTTGGTCAAATTGATGTGCTCGATGTCGATGTGGATAACGAATAACAAGTATATATGTGAGATTTTTCATAATTACAACAACAACAAAAAAAAGCATTACTTCACATGAGGCCACAACAACAACAAATGAATGCAAAGATACCAACAAAGACCAATACCTACTTTCTGAAAACAGTAGGGCATTGCCAGCAATGCTACTCCTATAATACTGTTGCCTAAGTTTATAATGAATGGCCAATTGTTGTGCGAGGAACCCATGTTGGTCCTAACTTCCACAGCTACTTCTGAATCAATTTTATTATCTTCAGAATTCTGAAAAACAAAGTGAAATAGCCCATGAGCAGACTAAAAAACAGACTGGCAGATATATGTGCCTGTGTGTGTGATGTATGTGCTTATGTTTGGTCTCTGTGTGTATGTGTGTGTGTGAGTGTGTGTGTATAAATATATTTGATTGTATAATATATATATATATATATATATATTATATATATATATATATATATATATATATATATTATATATATATATAGAGAAGAGAGAGAGAGAGAGAGAGAGAGAGAGAGAGAGAAAGAGAGAGAGAGAGAGAGAGAAAGACAGGGACAAATATATACATATACACCTTTAGATAAACATTTATTATACTCTTTAAAAATGCAGTTTAGAATCATCTCCCCCGTGTGGGTTCCGGGGCCCTATTGTGGGGAAAACAAGAATAGACCCACTGCCTCCACAAAAGCATGTCGTAAGAGTCGACGAACTGGGGAGCTTCCTTTGAAGTCGGAGTGCATCTGCCTGAGAGGCAAGGAACCAGCAGTCTACATTCAATTGAATCAGATCTGTAAAACTGATGCACAATAGGTCTAGCTCTATATGCCCAATACGCATGAAGGTGTGGAATAGGATCATTTACATCAGTAGTACACATAATAGATGGCTGCTGTGTAACATAATCCCATGAGTCGCCCTGTATGTCAGATAATGAATGTTTCATTTAAAGGAAAACATCTGAATTCAATATGACATCATGCTAGGTTAATTTTAATGACAAAAGTGATCTATTGGCTTGGCATACCATTGGCCTAGTTATGCCATGGGCCTAATGATGCCATAGGCCTAGTGATGCTATAGGCCTAGGATGCCATAAGCCTAGTGATGCCAAGGGCCTAGTGATGTCATGGGTCCAGTGATGCCATAAGCCTAGAGATGCCAAGGGCCTAGGGATGCCATGTGTCTATTCCAATATGGGTCATAAACAGGATTTATGGAATATTCTTGGGGGCATTAGAATAATTTAAAACTGAGCACATATGGTGCGTTGTTTGAAACAGAAAATGATAATACACAACATTTGAGAACAACGACAAATTTATATTTTGAAAAAGACCAAGACTGAAAGGGGAATTATCACACACATCAGCAGTCGTAGCATAACAATGAAGCATAAGCAGCAGCATTGTAAGATTTACTTCACGAAGGTAATATTTTCTGAATTCTTATCCCTCTTATTTGTTTCTTACTCACACTTACCCTTCACTCCCAGGTCGATCCAGCCTTAACTGGGTAACAGGCAAAGTCCCGGGAAGTTTTTTTGTTTGTGCTCACTGGCTGTAAACCCCTGCAGATCAACCTGGTTGTTCATCCATCCCTGGATTTTGGCATTGTTCCAGGACCTGAGTTTTACGTGTGCGTCCATTTTACAGATCTCCCTTATCTGTATGCAGAATTATTGTTCCTTGCCTCTCAGGCAGATGCACTCCAACTTTGAACGAAACCCCCAATCAGTCGACTCCTATGACAGACTTGTTGGGGAGGCAGTGGGTCTATTCTTGTTTTCCCTACAATGGGACCCCGGAACCCACCTAGGAATTCCTGGGAAGTAAAGGTGGCCAGTGTGATGCTGACCACATGACCCACTAAGTGCCAACTGGTCTACTAAATATAAGGGTTAGGGTTGGGGTTAGGGGTAGGGGTAAGGGGTAGGGTTAGGGGTAGGGTTAGGGGTAGGGTTAGGGTTAGATGTGAAAATTTTGACGTAGCATTTCGAAATACTGGCCGACAATATGATTTTTGTGGGAGTGGCGCCACTGAAACTCTGCCAAAATATGACGCCAATAGCGTGCGGCTGGTGCCCCCAATCGTTGGCGAATTGTGCGTGTGACCAGCATCCAGAGGCCCTCGATTGTTTGTTGTGTGTGTATGGGACTGTGCGCGATTATAGGGAACTCCGCTCCGCGTCAAAATTGTCAAATCTAACGCTAATCCTAACCCTACCGCTAACCTAATCCCTAATCCTACTTCCTACTACTCCCTAACCCTAACCCCTACCCCCCTAACCACGTCAATTTATCGATCATTAAAGCATACAAATCGGCAAACACCAACAAACAAAACACACCCAAAAAAAAACAACACCCAGAATTGTCCTGCAGCGTCGAAAAAAAAAACCAGATCTGGGGAAACAACCAAGCATTGGCAGCCCTGATGTCGACGTGACTGTCGTCTTTGTTTCGTTGTGGCTTTTCCGATCACTGTTTGGAGTGCGGCGACGGGAGAGAACTCTGACTAAGTCGTCCAAGGCTGTTTATTCTTCGTCCGGATTTGCCAGTAGAGCCAATAAGTCAAATCGTGTTTATGTTTATTTAGCAGATCAACATCATGGCACGCAAATGTTTAACCCATAAGTGTTCCGTTCTACTTCTAACTCAAGTCTGAGGAATCTCAGCGCAATGCACGAACTCCGCTTCACCGGCGAGGATCCTGAAATATTTTGGGTAGATTTTAACTTAAAATTGTGCCCATGCAGCGCCGTTAGGCTACTCTTTGTCGATTTCCAATTACAGAGGTATTTTTTACGTGCGCTTAAATACACACGGGCGTCCGGTCTTACTACCCAGAGACCAGGGGAAAATACTAAAAGTCCGCATGAAAAAAAAAATTCCAGCCCTCACCAGGGTTTAAACCTGGCGTGACCTCCAGCACTCGAGGTAGATGCCATTTCTCGAGACCACTCAGCCTCCTCAATCGTATGCCTCTACAATGTCTCTCGTCTTTGATGTGCATTCTGTGTACACATCTTTGATGTTTTCCTCCCATGTGTACAGTTGTCTACTTCTTGCTTGCCTGTTTTACCCAATCATTCTTCTATGGTTGTAAACAAAAGTTTATTTCTTTTACTTTTATTTTATTTCTTTTTTGGTCATTTAATATTATGCGTAGAAGGGAACTGGAACATGCTGTGATAACCACCGGAAAGATATGAGGAAAAAGAATAGAAGAAGACAACGTGATAATATTCTTGACAGCTGTTTGTTGTGACATGTAGGGGTGTCAGCAATTGCAGTGATACACGCTGCTCAAGATCACAGTTTGTGGAGAGGTGTGATCGCCTACGCCAGTCGGTAAGGCACTTGGTGGTAATGATGATGATGATAAGATGATGATATGTTTTGTAATGCAGTTGATATATTTCACGTCTCGTTGTATAGCTTACAAAATCTCTCTCTCTCTCTCTCTCTCTCTCTCTCTCTTCTCTCTCTCTCTCTCTCTCTCTCTCTCTCTCTCTCTCTCTCTCTCTCTCTCTCTCTCTCTCTCTCTCTCTCCACAGTATGTCTAAAAACCTCTACGTTCTATTGTGTTTCAACGATCTTTTCTGCTGTATATCATAATATATATAAAGGGATTCAACAATACTCACTAATGGTTTAACTGTTCAAATTTTCTCTTCATATACTAGTGCTGAAAATGTTTAAGTGTTGTCCATCAAGATGATGATGACCACTCACCTCTTTTTCATCAAGTATGAGTAGGAAGATGACTGATGACGTGTCGATGCGGGCCCCCGAAAAAGTTCTTGGA